ACCGATCCGTTCGTCTCTTCTTATCGCCTTACCGAACGTGTGGTGCATTCTTTTGTGAAAGTTCATTGTCGAAGCTCAAATGGATACTTATTGTTCTTAGTGAATAATATTTGCTGATGATTTCTATGTGATTCTTGGAAATGTTTTAATATTAAAGTGATTTTAATAATGATGTATAAAGTAATGATATAGTTAAATCTGAATAGAATTAAAATTGAAAATTGAAATCAATACTATAATTTCTAAAATTAATACAAAGATCTATATATTTTTGCATAAAAATCAATAAATTAATAATTCATTATTTTTAATTTAAAAGCAGAAATTTAATAAAACTTTGATTAAACAATAAGATTGTTTAAATTTATTATACATTGATGATTAAAATTAAAGTAATATTATAAAGTTTTCAGATAATTGAAAAAATTTTGATTTAATAATTCTAATATTAGTTCACTATTACGAAATATGAGTTTCTAGAATTTCTATAGCAATAATTCGTCATAAAATGCTCAATTTAGTCATCTTTCAAAATGAAATCTCCAATTTCAAAAATAACGAATGAAACAAACTACTAAACGAAATTCGATCTGATTCTCGTTTCTGGCCAAATCATTTCTGTCTAGATAAGCTTTCATATTAACTGTGTGAACATTAAAGCATCACTGTAATTGAGAAGAAATGGTTACCGAATAGAAGCAATTATAATTTTTGGCTACGCGACAGAATTACCTATTTCTTCGTTGTGACCGTCGTATTTGTACATGTTACGAGGAAAGAAACGATAAATTTCTGCTAATGTTACAGCTACCTGGTAAGGTTGGCTCATTTCGTCGGTTGACGAACGTCGGTTTAATAAGCTTCTGGTCGTTGCATGTTTCTTTTTATCTTAATGCTTCCTCGAAATTTATTCGTGGTATATATTTTCACGTGTTAATGAGTTAGAATTATTGAGAATGCGACTTTATAGGTGTCTAATGAAAATATAAACAAAATTTAAATTTATAAACGTATTATGAACTCGACTTAAATATTTAGCTCAAAGCAACCATATTTTTTTCAATACTCTTTAGAATAATTATACAATTTAGAATTAATATATACGTTGTACAAGTCATTTTCTTAATTAACGCTCATTGTTTCTTACAAAGTTCACTTTCATTGGTAATTTTCAAATATCGTATAATCTCATTATTAAATCAGATTACATTTACATAATTTACTTCTGACATAAATTGTCTCTTAAATCGTCAATCACAAACTATTCCAATCCTTTCATATTTAGAAATACGAAAAAAATAATTATTTTGTGAATATAATTTTTCTTCTCTTAATCAAAAAGACATTCGACATTAATATTAAAAAAAAAAAAAAAAGTATTCCAAACAACGAAATTACACCAATAATCTTGCGTATAACTATATTCGATACAAATTCAAAGATATTTCTCGAGACACGAGTGTGCTCTTGTCGAAGGAAAAAAAAAATGTACACAAAGGTCTTTCTCTCTCTCGTTTTCTCCCCTCCTCTTTCCGCTCTCTCTGAGAAGACGAAATTTTGGACTCGGCTCGCGAAGCGGAGACGGAAGACGAGATTCCTCTTTCGCGCAATTTACACGCGGTGAGGGAATAGATGTCTAGATTTACGTGTGCCGCGGCCCGGGACAAGAGATTGAAAACGTCAACACGTGGAGAGGCAGAAGGACAAATCCGGCACGTCCGTCTGGGCGGATGGATACGCAAAGGAGGGCCGGCTTCTCGAGTGCAGACTTTACATATTTGTATTCTACTTTCGTCTGTTTGCCGAAACATCATATTTCGGCCCCCTTTACTTGCGTAAAAGTGGAACCCTTCGCTTGTCGTCGGTTCGCGTTTGCGCCGGGCAAGCTGATTCCTTTGCCCTCTTGTTCGAGTAGATTGGCCCTAAAGTCTCGTCATTTTCGGCGGGAAGATCTTTGTAAGATCGATCTTGGATGAATGTCGATTCATTTAGTTTTAAGTAATTTATTATATCGTTTATCGAAAATTTTGTTTAAAAAAAAAATATATTGATATTTCAACGAAAATAATTTTTATAATCCTTTTGTTTTTTTTTCAAAAAATTGAAAGAATGATTTTTGGAATTAAAAAAATTTTTGGAATCAAAAAATTATATATATATCTTATAAAAGAAATAATAGAAATAATAGAATAAGGAAATAATAGAATTCCAAATTTGTTTGAAATTCTTCATCTTTGAATTCGTAAAAGAAAATTCTAAAAAATTCTATCAAACAACTTCAAATCTCACTATTCGATTGTAAAATCTTTCATTTCCATATTCTTCAAAGAAAATTCCAATAAATTCGAATCAAGTAATCTCAAACCTCGCATGTCATTACAATTTTAAAAAATCCTTCATCTCCAACCTCGATCGAAGAAAACTCGCATCAAACCAGTTCAAACTATCTCAAACATCGCTATCAACATCTAATCCCCAAATCCTTTTCATTCCCAAACTCATCTAAACAAGAATTCCTTTCCAAAATCTCTTTCAAACCATTTCAAACCACGCCAAACCCTCGAAACAACTCGAAAAAAAGGATGAAATTATCGATATCTATCGATATCTCGATATTCTTTCATCTTTATCGCGGATACCAGCTGCCCACGCACACCATCCAACTTGAGCAAACTCGAGGCAGAACAAGAGAGCCCGTTATATATGGAGATCGGCTACAAGATTGGCAGGAGGAAGGAATAAAAATCTGGCCGCATTTATTCAATCGGTGTACCGATCGCGGAATGCGAGTTGGATCAAAACTTAATAACCGGGAGCCGTGCAAAAAGCGAGGGCGCGTGCTGAATATCGGGGCACCGCGACGCCGCAAATTAATATAAACGACGCCAAACCCCACACCACGGGAGCAACCGT